GGGTTGTTGTGGCCAAAGTGCAGGACCCTTGATCAGTTTTCTGATGATACTGTAAGATGCCTGTTTAAGGTATTAAAAATCTAACACCTGGCTAAAAAGATAGTTGTCTTAAAAGTTATGAAAGACTATTTTTTCCTATGGCAACGATCCTTGCAGTGGGTTGACCCCAGCTGGCAGCTAAGACCCCGCCTATACCCTTGCTCACTCCTCCCACAGTGGGATGGAGGAGAGCCCATACTAGGTGATTTATAGGAATCCACAATTCTCTCACACAAAAGCTACTAATTACTTCTAAGCAAAGCAGCCATTCTTTGGCTGTTTTGCTTATTATTGATAGAACAATGAGAATTTTATTGTACTGAATGAAAAAAACAAAAAGAGTCAGTGCTACACACTTGAAGGAAGCACTACACACTTACGCAGGATATTGTTCATGCCTTCACTGGTAGCCTTCTAGTATTGAAAATTTAGTAGTGCAAAGGGTAATGTACGTCCCACGGAAATTTAATGAACAAAGTAATGAACCCTGACCTAGTTAGTCAAAAGATACCACAGTCAACTATTATGCTTCCCAGAATGCCTGCATTATTAAAGACAAGGCCATGCAAATATACTTAGAAAGGAAAATTACATGGTCTGACTCAATTGTTAGTTCCTGAGTAGTTCCATAATTCTGCACTAACAAAGCATCAGATTAACTTCACTAGCAAGTACTGATTTTGATACAAGTACGGGCTGCACAGATGCAGTGGAGACATGGCTCAAGAGCAGGCCTCTGCATAAACTGGATTATCTTCCTCCATATCATTCCTTCCTCCCCTGCTTACTAACTTACTGAAAACAACATGAGACTGCTTTTTTTTGTTTTTAACCAAAGTAACATTCAGATCAACTCACTTGGACTTTCTTTCCTCATGGATATCTCTGGAACTTCTTTCCTCTCGGATATCTTCTCTCTTATCTCTGCGGTCTTCTCTTCCTTTTTCTTTGTCATCCCAGTCTCTCTGGCGGTCTCTTTCTTTATCCCTGTCCCGACCTCTCTCCCTTTCTCGTTCCCGCTCTCGATCTCTTTCGCGCTCCCGCTCCCTTTCTCGTTCCTCCCGCTCTCGCTCTCGCTCCTTCTCCCTCTCCCTCTCTCGTTCCCTTTCCCTGTCATGGTCCCTGTCTCGGTCACGCTCACGGTCCCTGTCTTTGTCCCGCTCCCTCTCCCTCTCCCGTTCCCGAGCACGATCTCGTTCCAACTCTCTTTCTTTCTCCCTTTCTCTTTCCCGGTCTCTCTCTCCTTCCCTCTCTCGGTCCCTCTCCCTTTCTCGCTCTCTCTCCCGGGCCCTTTCATCTCTCCTATCATCAGACCGATCCACCCTTCGCTCTTCTCTTCTTTCATCCCGCTCGAGGTCATCGTTTCGTCCTTGATGTCGTACTGGTGTGCTTGCTCTCTGATCTGTGAAGAGAGGCCGGTTGAATTACCAAGTGCTAAAGGGACATACACTGCTTCCACTACAGTGATAAAAACCCAAGAGCTTTTGTTTTGACAATCTAGATATTGGTTTGCATTAAATGAAAAGCAACTCCCTGCAGAAACTTGAAAATTTGTTTTGGAGACTGAAAAAAGACAAAAAGCAGTACTAATTTTGAAAGATTTTTTCAGTATTTAGGGAGTGGTTGGTCTTTATTTTATCTAAAAGTTACCACAAAAATTTTACTTTCTACCAGATTTTTCTGAATGGTTTCAAGAGGTAATTATATGGCTCACAGCCTAGCTATTACTATTGCATTACTCAATGACTCAAAATCTGGTATAAGGTCTTGAAAAGCTCTGAATGACATACATAGGAAAATGAAATAGTAAGACTTCTGTATGAAAATTTTACTTCCTAAAACTGTTATGAGTCATGGGCTTTATAAGAAGTCACACTATTTATAATACCTAGTAAAAGTTACTGTAAAATAAGAAATACTAGCCTGCCTCATCACAGAGGAGAGATCCCTGCACAGAAATACTCAACCAAATCCGTGAGAAAGGGAGAGGCAAGGATGCAATACAGGAAGCAGAACTGCTGGAAGCTTCCATATGTACTCACTGCAGAGCCTTATGGTTTTAGAAGCTGAGTTTTTCGATGTTCAGACAGTGGATTAGAATCATGGAGAAAACACAATTTATATAGAAAATGGCTGGTCATCCAGAAGGACAGTGAAATCTGATTTATGTAATGGTATTTACTCTCCACAGACTTAGCTGCATTTTGTTAGTTATATTTTGGATATTTTAAAAAATATTTCTATAGATTTTGACCACTTTACAACAATTTCTATGCTGATGTTAGTACTATTTGAATCACAACTAATCAATACAACTATTTTTCCACAATATGTATTAAAAGCACTATACAAAAGAGCAAAAAATGGCACAAACAGAGGTTGGTATTTTTTGGTCCATTACTCTGAGGCTGAAAATGCACTTCACTGTAAATTGAGACAATGTCCACCAGGGGTGAGCAGGCAGTTTGAACAGGACTAAATCAATAAAACATGCATTTCCATCAGTTTAATCAATTTTCATCTAAGAGTGAATTAACAATGACTTAATGCTCCCCTGTTACCAGGTAAAATTAAAAGGAAACTTGAGTGACATTTCTGCTATGGATGTAACACTTCTTTTCTAAAAAGGCAAATCATCAGTCAATGATGCAATTGGTTCCATGAACTGGTTTCACATTCTTGTAACAGTGCCTATAATATTATAACATGATTTATTGTGCATACTAAGTATTACATTTTATACAGAAGTTCTGCAATGCCTTTTGTTATGTCAGTTTTGGTGACTAAACATTTACATGAAACTCTTACATGAGTCAAGATACTGGAAGTGTATTAGACAATTAAACGTGGATAGTCAGCACTTCTTACATGATTTCATTATCTGAAGAGCTGTTCCAGTGGTTGTTTGGAACACCTATATATTTGCCTTATTTGAACAAAGACAGCCTAAATTTGCAAGCCTACATTTTAAAATCATACTAAAAAAATTCCTTACATATCATAGAACTAAGTACCAAGCAAAATCTATCTCCATTTTTCTCTGAACAACAAATGTTAAAATTGTGGTCTAATTTGGAATTATGGAAACTATGTCTTGAATTGTAACTCTGAGGAGGACTTACTATTACAAAAGAACATCGAAATTTTCAAGGAAGAAAACAGTCTTATCTCCATTCAAGCTCTTTACATTTTCCCCCCAAAAGGGAAACAAAACCCATTCAAAGCAACTTCCCTTCTAGAGAAACTTATTTTGTTGTGATGACAGTTTTACTTCTAAGTTTGAGGTTTTTTCCTGTCTTTTTAAATTTTTTTTCTTAATAAATTAAGAACTCTGTATGATATGAAAAGCACAATTTACATTATAATATATCTAGGATTTACTGGGGGTGGAGAGGTAGAAGAGATGAAAGCTAGTCTGCAAAAGCCAACCCCCAAGATACATTCAGACTGCAGGATTTTTCAGCTGACAAAAAAAAAAAAAAAGGAAGCCTGGAGATTAGGTTTGTTGAAATCCTGCCTTGAAAGTGAAACAGAATCTAAAGCACAATGTGTCACAAGAACAAGCAATAATAGGTACATTTCAGTGGACCAAAAAGCACCTCTCAAAGTAACTTCAAATTTTTGAAGAGAAGTTTTGTAAGTTAAACAACAGCTAGAACATATCTGTTACTTCCAAATAAAAACTCAAGATAGAAAAAAAAAAACCACGGTAATTTTATATTTATTCTTCACAGCTCCTCATTTCATTTCCATCCTATCTTCATTTGCCTGACTCTTCCTATTCTCTTAATTGGTGAGCAATACAAATATTTTCCAGAATGAAAGCTGGTACTAAGTTCCTTAGAGACAACACAGTACTCTTTCAGGTGTCATTTTGCATACTATGTCTAAAAGAAGAGTCTTGCATACTCTATGATCACTGGTATCTGTACCAACACTCACTAGGCAATTATGATTTACCACAACAAAGCATTCATGAATATTAAATTCTCCAGGCAATAAATTTTTTAATTAATCATTAATTAAAATGTCACTTGCTTTAGTAGTAAGTAGTCAGTAAGTCAGTCAGTCCTTCTCCAAAACACACTCAAGTAATTTACAGTGCAAAAGTACTATGTTTCTATAAAGACACTAGTAATGAAATGCACTTACAAGTCTAATCTTACATGCGTATGTACATGAAGTGGAGGAGACAAAGAGGAGGAAAAAACATTTTACATTGAGGTTGTTCAATGAAATCTCTTGAAGAAGTTTAGTTTAAAAATAAAAACAAGGTGCCAAAATCTAGCCATAGGAACGGAGAAAGGGCATAGCATTCATGCATACACTGCCAATGAGATATCTTACTACCGAAGTTAACTTACATCAAGGATAGGACTAGTGTCAGTGTGTTGTGTCAAATGAGTTATTTATGAATTAGTGTTATGGGGGCAGAACAAAGGAAAAAAAAGGAGGGAGAGAGAAATATATATACATACACATTTGACTACGTACGTACGTGTAAAAATGTACATTAAAATACCTCTTTCTCTGTTGTCACGCCTGTCCCGTTCACCATGTCTTCTTTCAAAAGAGGAATCCCTTGCTTGTTCTCGACTGTCATAGCGATCCCGATCAGGGTAGCTGCTTCTTGATTCCCAGCTGTCATGGTAGTTTCCACTACTGCTGTGACCATCAACCTGAGATCCTCTAGTCCCCCGACTTCCTAATAGAGATGTATCAATATTAAAGATGAGTTTCCACATGTAAGAAAATCTATTGATATTTTATACCAACTAAAGTAGTAACTTCTAATAAACTTGAATTAACTGTTCACGGAAATAGAAATTGTAGTATCAAACTGCTTAACCAACAACTCTCGAATTTCACATTTTAATTGTAAAGTTATTGTTTTCAAACTGCAAAGTCAAGACTTCCTATATCACCATCATGATGGTCACTGCATAAGGTCTCCTGACTAGGAATATGACAGTCCAAAAGGCAGTTCACATTTGTTCTGAGTAGGATGTA